TTGTTTCACTAACCTCTAAGGCAGAGAGCCGCACTCTCAATTATAAACAGAAAATCAGAACACCGAGGACTAAGATGGAAAGAAATACTGACATCCTAACAGATCTGGACATCAAGGAAAACTGACTAGTAAATAGCATCGTGTCTAAGAAATTATGGCAGAAGGCATGGTACTAGGAGAAAGAGGCAGGGGCCTACCAGCACGAAGATGGACACACGATATAAGGGACGCACTGAGTGGGAAAGTGCACGAGGCGGGACAACTGGCGAGAGACCGAGGCTCTTTCAGGTGGGCTGTGATGAGAGCGACGTTCTGCAAAGGACCTGTGACTGGACATAACAGAATAATCCAATTTTAAAATAAACTGTAATATATATATATATATATATATATATATATATATATATATATATATATATATATATATATATATATATATATATAAAATAAAACTAGTTACTGACTGTATTCGCTACTTCTGCAGTGCATAAAAAAGGGGGCGGGCTGGAGGGAGGGGGGGGGGGGTGTTAAAGTTTGAGGGCCGCATGCTGTGCAGGTTAGGATACTATTGTTGTACCCGACAGGAAAAGAAAAAAAACCTCATAGGGTTTTCTGGCGTTACGCAATAGTACGTGGTACCGGCACCCTTTGTTAGGTACATGTTTTTTTTTAAAATAGCAATACTGTAATCGACACTGTGTGGTGTGTTCCGGCACTTTATATTCGGGGGGGGGGGGGCCTTGGGCTTACCGAGGATTTAAACATGGATTTCCTATATGAGAGCCCAGTGTGCTTAATCGTTCGGCCGGCAACTTATCAGATCAAACAGAAACTCTACATTTAAATTGTAAACCACAAGGACCTACAGGATTAGTTCATTAAATGTATTCCACCACCACCAATGCCGCTACTACTGCTGCTGCTGCTGCTGCTGCTGCTGCTGCTGCTACTGCTACTGCTACTGCTACTGCTACTACTACTACTACTACTGCTGCTGCTGCTGCTGCTACTACTACTACTAGTACTAATACTACTACTGCTGCTGCAACTGCTGCTGCCTCTGCTGCTGCTACTACTACTACCACCACCACCACCACCACCACCACCACCACCACCAACACCACTACTACTTCTACTGCAACTCCCACTACAGCTGCTACTACTACTGCTGCTGCTACTGCTCCTGCTACTACTACTACTACTACTACTACTACTACTACTAACTACTACTACTACTACTACTACTACTACTACTACTACTACTACTACTACTACTACTACTACTACTACTACTACAGCTGCTGCTGCTGTTGCTTCTACTACTACTACACAGGAAGTAAAGGCGGTCGGCATAATGCTGATCACTGAGTGCCGATTGGTTTATAACAATATAGGTCTAGCCCTGTACCCTTATTACGCAGTGATTACTTTTGGCCACATAATAATCAGTGGTCCAGAAATCCCACGTTCTTTTTCCTCTTCTCCTTTGCTCTACTCCTGGAATGCCTCGCGGCGTCAGGGCAGGAAAAGATATCTGGAACGGACCCTTCTGTGTGATGCGTGTAAAGTACTTTTCAGTGTCTCTGATATTTCTGCAGTCCATATTCTGCGTGGTCGACTTCTGGATATGTTACGATTGTATCTGTACTGGACTGCTCGCTGTAGTGCCCCGTCTGCTGTCAATCTTGTTACATGACCAAAACATTCGATTCGTTGTAATCCCACGGTCTGTTTGTGGAAAAAAGTTTTTAACGCTAGAGGGTATGACTAGTCACACTCGTCATCGCTGTGGGACCTTCCCCCCCCCCTCCCCCTTTTCTTCATTTCTACCCCTCCCCCTTTTCTGTGTTTTTTTAAATAAAATAAAATAGCACAATATATCACAGCATCATCTGGAAAGACGGAACATTTATGGCAAAAGTAATAACGGAGGACAACGAGAGATTTGCGATACCGCGACCATGACAAGGCGCAACTCTATCAGTGCCAGGCAACGATCCCTGAGCTGATCACCGTTGCCTGACATGATAGACATGTCTGAGCGCTACAGCAGTTGTAGCTCTAACCCATAATATCCCATTAGTTGATTCAGCTCCTTTTGTCCCACTGTGCTCAAAGAACCCCATGAGACCCAAATGCACATTACATAGAGAGGATAGCTGCTGGGACCTATTTAGCACATTATTATTATTATTATTATTATTATTATTATTATTATTATTATTATTATTATTATTATTATTATTATTATTATATTCGTAAATTAAGATGACACCCATACAGGCCTCTCCCCCACCCCACTGCTTTTCAAGACACATCTGCCTTGGAAATACTCTTATTAAGTCACTGAAATGGAAAACAAATATCGGTGCCTTTAAAGTGAAACTTTACAGAACAGCTCTTAGAATGCCATCGATCAAGAACAAGAAAAACACAAACATCCAACATGATTTGAATATTCAGGACATCTGGCGCATAAACCGCCTCCTGTCCCAAATTCTGAGGTATTTTTGCCATGTTAAATTTTATGGTCTCCCAGGTCGACCCAGCCTTGAGTGGGTACCAGGTGCAGTCATGGGAAGTAAAGGTGGCCGGCGTGATGCTGACCACATCACTAACCAAGTGCCGATTGGTCTATACAAAAAGTAGGTTTAGCCTTATATTCCCAATTTGCCTTAAGGCATAGAAAAGGGACCTTTACTTTTCTTGACTAATTATTATGGTAAAAAAAAAAAAAAAAACAGCGATTGCAGTGAGGGGCGAGGGGGGGGGGGGGGCGGGGGGGGGGGGGGTGGTCATTTTCCAGAAATCGAGGCATACGCCAAAACCTCTGCGATTTGGGATACAAGAAATGAAGATGCATTGGTTATGAAAGCAATTGTGGACAGAGAATTGGCCAGAGAAAGGACGATTTTCAGGCTTGACGTTCTGTAGGGATTATTTACTTTATGCTTAATGGCGTGGTAGCCAGGGATTTGTGAGAACCTCTAGTCTAGACGCTGTCACACGACTGACTATTGGGCCCTTATCGATCACGTCTGCTAGGAGTCTGACCGCCCGCCGGTGATGTTATTGGAGCCAAAATAGTTAAGACTTGCCGATATAGGTCGTTTCCATACTTGCCGATACAAGCCGTTTCTTGACTTGCCGATTCAGGTCGCTACACGCACGCACACACACAAACCAATACGGAGGCACCTGCAAACAAACTTACGCCATCGTCGTCATCAACTTTGTCATCACTGTCATCATTATGATCATCACTGGCGTCATCATCATCACTATCATCATCAACACTGTCGTCATCCCCAACATCATTTTCGCCATCTAGTGGTCTGCCGTGATATTTTCAAAATAACACTCTAAGATTGTCCAGATTGGTAGACTGCTTTGTTGTTATTCTCCTCCTGCTTCTTTTTCTTCTCCTGTCTCAACATTCTAGGCCCCCGAGACTCAATGCTGTTTCACCAACCTCCAATAATCTCTCTAACGGTGTTCTCTTTCTAGTTGGTAACTTCAACTGTTTACAGCTCTTTCTGTATATTATCCCCCCACCCCCCGCAGTGTCGTCTTCGCCTCCCTCCTGGTCTTCTCCTATTACTCCATTGTGTATACAGTTTTTGCCTCTCTGTTTTCGGTCAATTCCTCTATATGTTCTAATCATCGCATTCAATCAGGCCTCATAGCACCATTAGTTTTCGCACTCTCTTGCTTGAAAATTCTGCCAACTCCTTTTTTGAATTTCTTACCTTTTGAGTCAATAATTATGTTCCCCGTGTGGGTTCTGGGGCCTCATTGTGAGGAAAACAAGAATAGACTCACTGACTCCATAACAAGCATGTCGCAAGAGTCGACTAATTGGGAGCTTCCTTCAAAATCATAGTGCCTCTGCCTGAGAGGCAAGGAACTAACAATCTGTATACAATTAAGTCAGAGTTGTTGAACGGATGTACATGCAACACTCAGATTCTGGAACAAAAGTAAAGTCCAGAGGTGGACAAACAACAAGAACTGAACTTTCCGATGGAGATTACAGCCAGTGAACATAAAGAAGAATGATGTTTTTATGAGTGGCTCTAGAATCTGGAGTCTGAACACCCACAGACACATTTGTACCCAGACTAAACAGTCTCCTTTAATCATTATATATCTTCTTCTTCTTCTTGTTCACCGGCTGTGAATTCCGGCGGTAAGTCGCGGTTGTTCGTCCAAAATGGACTTTTGGCTTTTACCTTGACCTGAGTTTTGCATGTACATCCGTTTTACTGGCTTATTTGTTTGCAGTACTCGTTCCCCGCCTCTCCGGCAGATGTACTCCGACTTCGGAGGAAAATCAATCATTATATATAATAAACAGACAATGCATTGACCGGAAAAAATATCCAGAAAAGATATAAAACTGAATGAAAAGTATATCAGCAAGCTTCACATTGTAACGAACACAAACAAACAAAACGTGAACGTTGCGGCTATGGAGCCTTCATCAGCACATACATAAAACAAAAAAATTATGTATTTATTGGCACTCATAGAACAAGTAGAAAGATAGAAGGACACACTAGACAACATTAAAAATTGAAAGCTTTGCTACTGTGCCGGGAATGGAACCTGTCACCTGCAAATGGCATGGCGCCTTGCTATGGAAACAAGTGTACTAACTAAGATACATGACTAACTAATTCAGATTGCATAGTCGGGACACATTTAACCGTTCACCATATATGAAAATTCTCGATTAACAAATTACGCTTAACCATACATTTTTTTTTTTTACAAAGACAAAGAAGAAAACTGCTGGGTATAAACAAATTGTTCTTCATACCAGAAGCTTGCCACGTCTGAGATCGCCTTAAACTGTCATCACTGTATGCCTGTTGCAGTCTGAAGCTGTTGGCAAAAGTCATTTACTTAATATTATGCTAAATATGCAGCAGACTTTTGACACAACTATACTGCTACACACAAAGGTAAAACCCCATAAACAGACTATAATCACTTACCTCCAATTTCTCCAGCAACTCTCTGGTTGGCTCTTCATTGCGAAAGTCGAAACCGTTTGAGAGTTCAGCCAGAGACTGGGCAGATTTCTCAGCCATCTCAAGCCAAATCTCAAACTCTAGAAGAGCTGTCTCGAAATGCCTGCCATCTTGGGTTGTCTGAAGCAGGCCCTTTTGATCCTGAAGCCTGTCAGACATAGACAGGCATAGTTTATATCTCAGTGTACCAGATATCACTTCAGAAAGTAGACTTGTTCTTATTCTTAGAGTTCACCCTCCATACACTCCAGCAGAGATTTCTGGTTGTTTGTTCACATATAGATTGGTCTTGTTCCAGAACTCAAGTTTTGCATGCACATCTGTTTTACAAATCTGGTTTATCTGTATGCATACTGTTGGTTTCTTGCCTTTCAGAGGAATAGGCACTGACTTCAAAGCAAACACTCCAAATCAGTTGCCTTTCATTTTGGAAAGAAGGTAAAAAATCAGAATAAAATATACTATAAGCCACTTCAGGGAGTGGTGATTCAGAGCTGGTTATACCCTTATTTATTTCACGTGGTAGATATTTAGTACCAAATATGTCATTAGCCACTTCATGTGGTAGGTATTTAGAACCAAATATAAAATTAGCTTTTTCACATGGTAGGTATTTAGAACCAAACATAAAATTAGCTTTTTCACATGGTAGATATTTAGAACCAAATATGTCATTAGCCATTTCATGAGGCAGATATTAAGAACCAATTATACCATTAGCCACTTCACATGTAGATATTTATAACCAAATATACTATTGAATACTTCACATGGTAGGTATTTAGAACCAAATATATCAATAGCCTTATCATGTGGTAGATATTGAACAAAATATACTAATAGCCACTTCATGTGGTAGATATTTAACAAAATATACCAGTAGCCACTTCATGTGGTAGATATTGAACCAAAAATACCATTAGCCACTTCACATGGTAGATATTGAACCAAATATATCAATAGCCACATCATGTGGTAGATACTGAACAAAATATACTAATAGCCACTTCATGAAATAGATATTTAACAAAATATATCATTAGCCACTTCATGTGGTAGATATTCAACAAAATATACCAATAGCCACTTCATGTTGTAGATATTGAACCAAATATACCAATAGCCACTTCATGTGGTAGATATTCAACAAAATATACCAATAGCCACTTTATGTGGTAGATATTGAACAAAATATATCAATAGCCACTTCATGTGGTAGATATTGAACAAAGTATATCAATAGCCACTTCATGTGGTAGATATTGAACCAAATATACCAAAAGCCACTTCATGTGGTAGATATTGAACCAAATATACCAAAAGCCACTTCATGTGGTAGATATTGAACCAAATATACCAATAGCCACTTCATGTGGTAGATATTGAACCAAATATACCAATAGCCACTTTATGTGGTAGATATTGAACCAAATATACCAATAGTCACCTTAAGTACGAAGCAATGAGAAGCATATCCCAACAGAAACAGCTGGCAATTCTTTTTCTACTTTAGGCTTTTGACTCGAAACAGAGCACAGGCTCTCAACCAACTTTGTCAGAACCTTTGTAGACTAGTTTATGGTTAGTAAAATGTTGCAGCAAAAGGTTTCCATGTGATGACTTGCTAGTGTTATACCAACCAGCCATAGTTCATCATCATCATCATCATCTCATCATCATCCTGTTCTGCCTTGAATACATCACACAGAGCTTGTAGATATAAAATACAGCAATATATTGGGCACATCATGAGGAGAGATGGACAGACAATCATCAAACAAGCACTGCAATGGGAAATTAATGGATTGAGTAAATGAGAACGCCCAAGAGAAAGGCATCAGATTGGACCGCATCCATGGTATCAAAAGTCTTGCACAGAATAGAACTGAATGGAGGACTCGACTGTGAGCTCTACTTATATGATGTCTAATGGCACAACAGCATAATGGTGATGATAATTAGACTTACAAATGTCATCTATCTGATTATAAAGCTAGCTACACAATGTACATTGGATTATGGCATCTGTAACAAATTAAAGGGAGCATGTTTTTGCGCATATCTAGAGCTTACCTGTTGAGCAAGACTGACCACCTGTTTGTGAGTCTCAGTAGTGTTAACTGCATCTGGTGAGTGTCATGGTTCGGGTAGTCTTCAATCAACTTCTCTGCCTTCTGTCTCAAATTGTCAACCATTTGTTTGTGTCTGTTTATAGCCTCTTGCAGATGCTAAACAAATGCAGTGTATGTGTGACATGGATAATTCGAGTAAGTAAGTAAAGGATCCATTTTCTATGCCTTCTAAGCATATTGGGTATATTGGGCTAGACCTAAACTTTATAGACCACACAATACTTGGTGGGTGATGTCTTCTTCTTCTTCTTCTTCTTCTTCTTCTTCTTCTTCTTCTTCTTCTTCCAGAACTCAAGTTTTGCATGCACATCTGTTTTACAAATCTGGTTTATCTGTATGCAAACTGTTGGTTTCTTGCCTTTCAGAGGAATAGGCACTGACTTCAAAGCAAACACTCCAAATCAGTTTCCTTTCATTTTGGAAAGAAGGTAAAAAATCAGAATAAAATATACTATAAGCCACTTCAGGGAGTGGTGATTCAGAGCTGGTTATACCCTTATTTATTTCTCTTGCAGATGCTAAACAAATGCAGTGTATGTGTGACATGGATAATTCGAGTAAGTAAGTAAAGGATCCATTTTCTATGCCTTCTAAGCATATTGGGTATATTGGGCTAGACCTAAACTTTATAGACCACACAATACTTGGTGGGTGATGTCTTCTTCTTCTTCTTCTTCTTCTTCTTCTTCTTCGCGTTCACCAGCTGTAAACTCTGGTTGTTCATCCACTTTTGGACTGCAGTCCTGTTCCAGAACCTGAGTGTTGTGTGTGCATCCGTTTTACAAATCTCACTCATTTGTATGCAGACTGGTTGTTCCTTGCCTTTCAGGCAGATGCACTCCGACTTCGAAGGAAGCTGCCTATTAGTCGATTCTTACAACATGCTTTTGGGTAGGCAGTGGGTCTATTCTTTTTTCCCCCATATAATAGGGCCCCGGAACCCACACGGGGGGTGGGTGATGTGGTCAGCATTACTTCCCAGGACTAAAGATAATACAAGGTTTGTGATAATGAGTTTAAATAATGCAGACATAAACAATATATTAAGAGAGACAATGTAATTTATATATTACAGGGAAGAGAATTTAGTTGTTTTGCCTCATTATATGTTCCTGTGCGACGTCCGTGGCTTGGGTGTTGCGAATCGGACTGGTAACTCCAGCGTACCGCTGGCTGCATGGATTTTTTATCATGGTATGGGGCGTCGCAGGTCGACCCAGCCTAAAATAGGTACCAGGATGTGTGTCCTGGGAAGAAAAGATGGCCGGTATAATGCTGACCACATTACCCACCTAGTGCCGATTAGTCTGTAAAAATATGGGTGCTTTTTCCATATACCCGATGCACCTAAAGGCGTGAAAAGGGATCTTTACATTTTTTTTAAATATGTTGCTGTAGCTTTGTAGTAACACCTAAGGAGATACAGTTAAATATGCCAGTCAATAAATTCTGCAATGCATTGTTCGTGTTCATGTTAGTTAAATGTCAACCACTAGTTTGTGTCTTTTTACAGCCTCTTGGAGATACTAAAGATAATACAAGGTGTATTCTTCCTTTTCTTCTGAGTGTTCATTATGTGTTCACCAGCTGTACAGTCTGGTGCTCATCCACTTCTGGACTTTGGTATTGTTCCAGAAATTGAGTATGACATGCACGGTGGTTTTACAGATCTGCATTATGTCTTTGCTGACTGTTGATTCCTTACCTTTCTGACTTTGAAGAAACCAGCAGAGTGCATATAAGTAAGTCAGATCTGTAAAATGGATGTACATATAAAACTCAAGTTTTGGAACAAGACCAAAGTCCAGAAGTGGAAAGATGACCAGAACTTTCCGCTGGAGTTCACAGCCGGTGAACATGAAGAAGTGGTACCCATCTTGTACATCCTTCTCACTTATTCTTTTATTAGGTTGTAGAGGGGAAAGACAACTCTGCAACAAAGTCCCTGTTGGGTCAGTTCTCCTGTAATGCTTTTGGAGAGGAATCAAAAAAAACTTCCAGACAGTGCTATGCAAGAAGCAGCATGGAAAAGACTGGGGCCTCATCACTTAATATTCCTATAGTCTGCAGTAAATATATTTCAGCCAACCTTCATTGTAAAGTTGGTACATTTTTTCACTTCTTTTACTTGGGAAATTAATGTAAAGTTGGTCATCAAATCTTGCCTAAAGGTTATTATAGATGCCCCAATGTCGTTTCTGGAAATCCAAATTTTTGGGGAAAATATAATAGATCCACTGCTTCCCCTAATAAGAATGTAAAATAATCCGCAAAAGATGCAGTGAGGCAAACATTGGGAAACAGGCAAGAAGCTAGCTGAACATCTCTCCGATATCGACAAGAAGACATTTGAACCAATCACTTTCCATTTCAAAGCTCTGATCACAGAGGAAAAGATTATATATCTGTAAGAGAGATAAAATCTTACTCTGGTGATCATACCACATGCCTTGCTATGGAAAATTGCCTCATCCATAGTCTAGGTGTTCTAAGTCCAGGAAGCATTAATGTCCAGCATACCTTCATCTAAACAAACAGTTTTACTATTGTCACATTATTTTAAATTTTAAATTTTACTGTATAGTTTTTATGCTTATTTTATTTAATTTTACTTTATATTATTTTATTCTATCTCTTTTCAGTACCAGTTATGGATCATTAACATGTGTATTTCTACTACTCTTCTATTTCCACTATTATTATATATTATCACTACTGCTTTTATGACTAATTTTTTAGCCTTCCTTTATTTTTTTTTATTTTTTTATTTCACTCATCTCACATCACTTTTTTATAGTTTCCCACATGACCACCTGGTGGTCGCTGTGGTTGGAGTATTCTCCCCTTTTTTATTGTTGTGTAGTTTAGTTCATGTCGAGAAAGCCAGAATGTCAATTTGGGTTCTCCTTAAATCTACAACCACTTATTATGGAGTACGCCGGAGTTCAGTCCCCTGGCCGCATTGCAATTACAGAGTGGACAAGAGGGAAAGACACAAGTGACGTACTTACTGTGTGTTGGCGATAGACAGCGTGAACCGATGAGGTAATTACTGTGTTTTGGCGATAGATGCACTGCTGTCATAATAGGGTTAGGATTAGGGTTTGGGTTAGGGTTAGGGTTAGGGTATTGGTACTCCTCAAAACTACGGCCGCTCCTAACCCTACCCCTAACCCTACCCCTAACCCTACCCCTAACCCTACCCCTAACCCTACCCCAAACCCTACCCCTAACCCTACCCCTAACCCTACCCCTAACCCTACCCCTAACCCTACCCCTAACCCTAACCCTAACCCAAACCCTAGTATAACAGCAGTGCATCTATAGCAAACACACAGTAATTACGTCATTTGTGTCGTTCCCTCTTGTCCACTCCGAAATTGCAATGCGGCCAGGGGACTGAACTCCGGCGTACTCCATAATAAGTGGCCGTAGTTTTAAGGAGAACCATAAGATCACAGATGCAACCACACACAAGAACAGGGGGTTGACAGAAGGTCGTGAGAACGTGGCTACTGCAAAACTGTTTGAGAATCTTGTTTGAGAGTAATTACAAAGCAACAAACCAATGTTAATATTTTTCATTTCTGACCTCATATTTGGACATGACATCACTGCTTTCAAGCTCGGTCTCCAGCGCATCCATCTGACACTCAGTCTGACCAAGCCACAGTTCGAACTCTGCATACGATTGGTCAAAATGTGTGCATTCCTCTAACATCTTGTCCAGCTCATGCTTCTGACGTGTCACATCTTTGACAGCTTGTTCCCAGTCTAGCTTCAGTTTCTCCACTGTAGACAACAATGATCTACTTGACATCTTAACCACATTTTTAATTTAGTTTTAAAGTATGTCTATATATAAACATGACATGGCTAAAACAGAAGCTGTTTGGCCCATTTAGCCTAAACCTCTGGTAGAAATCACAATATTGTATTATTGTAAATTGAATGTTTTCAATGCCTATGTCAGGCCCCTTTTATTTTGGGAAAAGGGGGTTCGGGGGGGGGGGGGGGGGGGGGGGGGTGTAAGAACCGACTCACTGCTTTTTGATGTGCATGTCGTAAAAAATGATCAATTAGAATTTTGCTGAAATCGATTATGTTTGGCCGAGGAGCAGCTGACCCAATGGATAAGAAGACATGCTCTCATTGGTAAGGTTGGGGATTTATTTTTGTTGGGAGCAAACATAAAATCCTAACCTGCACAGTCCATGGCGACAGCACAAGCCATGCGGCTATAAATTCTCAGGCTTAAAGACCTCTGGTAATTACACGCAGAAATTGCAGTTTATTTTTGCAGTAAATGTTGGTTCAGAAAGTAAAGATACTGCAGCCTAGCTGTAAACCTCAACACAATGTGCTAATCGCCTTTTCAAGGGTGAATTCATAAGACGAAGAACACTGTAAAAATGTAATAATTTTTTCAAATAAGGACATTTTTTTGCAGTGACTGGTACATTTGCATGTATGTTGAATTTATATGTTAAGAATTTACATCACAGCACTTGGGACACTTCCATAAGTGCTCCATCCCCATCTTTAGCAGCAAGCGAAGAGTTCCAATTCTGATGGCACCAGTAACTGCCTAATTGTATATCCATCTCACCTTTCCCTTCAGTGTTGAGTGTCAGCCAAGTTCCCTGGTAACCACTTGCAAAGCTATTCTCCCCAGACCGTAATAATCTATTTGTGCCTCTGCACTGTTCACTCACTTCCAGAGGGCCCTCACAACATCTAATTTACCAGACATCACTTCACCACCAAGTGGCGCAGAACCAGCCAGTCTATCTGCCATTTACATATAGTGTTAAGTGAAAATGTTTATAGTTCAATCAGACACTCAATGGGCAACGTGGTCAACATTATAACAGTCATCTCTTCTTTCTAAGACATTTATGATGCAAATGTTAGGCTAGTCTGATCTGGAAAGTGTTAGGCTAGTCTGATCTGAAAGATGTTAGGCTAGGCTAATCTGGAAGATTTTAGGCTAGTCTGATCTGGAAAGTGTTAGGCTAGTCTGATCTGGAAGATGTTAGGCTAGGCTAATCTGGAAGATTTTAGGCTAGTCTGATCTGGAAAGTGTTAGGCTAGTCTGATCTGGAAAGTGTTAGGCTAGGCTGATCTGGAAGATGTTAGGCTAGGCTTATCTGGAAGATTTTAGGCTAGTCATCTGAAAGATGTTAGGCTAGTCTGATCTGGAAGATGTTAGGCTAGGCTGAACTGGGAGATGTTGGGCTAGGCTGAACTGGAAGATGTTAGGCTAGGCTGAAATGGAAGATGTTAGGCTAGGCTAATCTGGAAGATTTTAGGCTAGGCTGATCTGGAAGATGTTAAGCTAGTCTGATCTGGAAGATGTTAGGCTAGTATGATCTGGAAGCCATGGTGAATTATAAAAGTTTATCTCATGCAGATTTAAATGCAAGATTTTTAGCTAGCAGCAGGTATTATTTTCATGTATTTTAATGGTATTTTACTTGTAGAACTTTATTTTTATCTTTCAAACGCACTGCCACTAAGAAATCTTTGGAGTGGAAAAAAAAAGGGAGTGGGGGGGGGGGGGGCATATAGCGCTCAGCCTCCCCCATATTCTGTTCTAGGGGCAGGCTTAAGAGGCTGAGTCCTTGCATAATTGTGTAATAATAGTACTTACCATTATTTTGTGCTGCATGACAAACCAATTTAATCATACGAGTATATTTCAAATAATGTTAAATATATAAACAAATACTCTAAAATAGAAATCTGTAAAATCGTTAAGGGACTCACTTAGCCCTCTTGAGGTTCAGCCCAGTGGAGGCTCCAGGTGCCTAACTATGGTCAGGGCTTCTAGGTGTGTTGGTTTGAAGAGAAACAAACAAGATAATAATCTTGCTGGTGGGAATACTGCAGAAAACTGATATGCAATGGACTCAACTGATCTACTGGGTGCTCTCAGAGAAGCACAGCCTTTGAATGTTTCAAGTGGCAGCTGAAAACAGGTATCTGTGATCAGACTGTAATAACATCAAGACAGAGGGTGAAGCTGGACGAGATTACCAGGCATGCCAAAGATAAATAGGAAATCAATACAGAACTGGCTTCTGGGTTTGAATATGCCCACTATACTTACAACTACGAAGAGAAACTTGGCCTCAAAAAGCAAAGTGAGAACAGCAAGTTATGGGGAACCATGAAGGACCTGCAAATGACATGTGAATTTACAGAGGCTTATTCTACTTGGCTATCTGATCTGAGTATAGAAAACATACATAAGGAAGAAGAAAAAGAAGAATCTGCACTGAGTTAGATCTGTTTCAAAACCACCCTTCACTTTCAGGTTCACCCAGCCTAAATGGGTACCAGTCAATGTCCTGGGAAGGGGAAGTAAAGTCTGTCAGCGTGATGTTGTCCACATCACCTATCGATGGGTGATGTGAACAACACCATGCTGACAGCCTTTGCTTGCCAGGAATTTACCTGCTATCCATGTTAGAATGCTTTACCCTAGGAGTCAAGGTCATTCAAAAAATATAATCCAGTGCAGAATCGAAGCCAAGACCTTCTGACTGGCAGGAAAACGTCTAGCTCCTAAAGTACGACTGCACTTTTATGTTAGTCTACCTAAAAAACATTCTAGGTGACATACTTTTGTCCGCCAGAGCTTTTTTGTCCTCCACATCACTGATGGACTTCTGCAGTTCTGTAGAAGTGGCCACAGCTTGGTCTAGTTGACTTTTCTTGCCTGTCATCTCTTTGAAGTACGTCTAATTTTTGATTGGTCATAAAAATATGAGCATGACCAGTTGAACAGTTGAAAAAAAAAATACATTATGTGACTTAATGTTACATAATCAGTTCTAATAATGTAAAGGCTACATATCTTTTAAATCGACCCAGCCTTAAATAAGTACTGGGAAGTAAAGGCAGTTGATATTTTATTGGGAACATCACCCTTTATGTCCAATATGCCACTTGTGTGAAAATGGTCTTTTACCATTACTTTAATACACACACACACACACACAGTTAAACCCCGTTAACATGAACTCACTTGAAAATCACACTTTTTCTTCTGAATTTTATCCCTCAGTGAAGCATAGGCCCTTAACCAACTCATGCCAAGTCATTCTATCCTTCGCTACTGTAAGCAGCTCTCACCTCACTGTCCTCCCCATCTTTTGAACTTCACTCTCTAGTTCCTGTCTCCATGTCTTGTTTGGTTCTGCATTTATTTCCATGCCCCTAGTTTTCTCCCAAAGCTCAACAATACTGAATCTATCATATCATTTAATTGCCTCTGTTCTGGGCAGGCACCAGTTAATGAAAGTTTTAAGATATGAATAATCGTTTACGTTGTTCTCCATGTTTCTGCTTCTTACAGCAGTACTGATTTGACACTGACAAATTGGTGATCCCAGCAAGGGTGTATTAATTTGAGTTCCCATTTAGCCCACAATTTTTAAACATGAATTATTATTTTTTGGTCCCTTGGAATTTGTGTTAATGAGGTTTAACTGCATTAATCTAAGTAAACACACATGCAGTCTAGGCAGACTAAAGGGACACACATACAAACCTCAGGTAGACAAATGGTCATTCGTGCAAACCTCAGACAGACTGAAGGGACATGATACAGACAAAATTAACATGCTTACAAAACTGATACAAGTGGCTATGCATACAATACTTTGATAGACTAGCTGAATATGCATACACAACTTTGACAGACTAACTGAACATGCATACACAACTTTGACAGACGAACTGAACATGCATACACAACTTTGACAGACTAACTGAACATGCATACAAAACTTTGACAGACTAACTGAACATGCATACACAACTTTGACAGACGAACTGAACATGCATACACAACTTTGACAGACTAACTGAACATGCATACAAAACTTTGATAGACTAACTGAACATGCATACAATACTTTGATAGACTAGCTGAATATGCATACACAACTTTGACAGACTAACTGAACATGCATACAATACTTTGATAGACTAGCTGAACATGCATACACAACTTTGACAGACTAACTGAACATGCATACACAACTTTGACAGACTAACTGAACATGCATACACAACTTTGACAGACGAACTGAACATGCATACACAACTTTGACAGACTAACTGAACATGCATACACAACTTTGACAGACTAACTGAACATGCATACACAACTTTGACAGACTAACTGAACATGCATACACAACTTTGACAGACTAACTGAACATGCATACACAACTTTGACAGAAGAACTGAATATGCATACACAACTTTGACAGACTAACTGAACATGCATACACAACTTTGACAGACTAACTGAACATGCATACACAACTTTGACAGAAGAACTGAACATGCATACACAACTTTGACAGACTAACTGAACATGCATACAAAACTGTGACAGAAGAACTGAACATGCATACACAACTTTGACAGACTAACTGAACATGCATACACAACTTTGACAGACTAACTGAACATGCATACAATACTGAGACAAATTAAAAGGACTTACATGCAAAAAGTGAAAGAGACTAAGAAGACATGCGTACAAACTTAAGACACTCTACTGTCAGATACTTACAAATATTGGACAGATTAGCAACAAAAACATACAAACTTGAGGCAGATTATTACCAACAGGCGCACATACCAACTGCAGACAGATTAAACAGACACATACAGAAAACTAAAACAGACTAAATGGACACACAAAAAACCCCAAACGGGTTACCAACAGTCACACATACAAACCTCAAACAGACTAAATGGATACACATACACACCTAAGACAGACTGAATAAACACACACACAAACCCCAGACAGACTGAACAGACATACATACAAACCTTAGACACACTAAAAACACTCATAGAAACCTCAAACACACTTAACTGACACACATACAAACCTCAGACAGATTTAACAGACAGACATACAAACCTCAGACAGCCTGAGGTCCCTGACAGGTTCCTGTGATTCAACAGGCTCTACGGCATGCTGTGAGTTGGGCAACAAACCATCTTCATTCTCATGCCTCAGTGAACCCGACCGATGGTCAACAGAAGTAGGCAGTGTTAGTATGGGCCCATACTGCAAGTGCATTATTTGTTAGTACACACATGGTAATGTTAGGTATTCTTTCTGTTAGTCATGCTAATTAACATGCATGAATTCAGTCAGTGATTAAAAAAAAAAAAAAAAAAGAGTGACTACATCTGAGCTGGTACAATTGAATAAGCTGAATACAAACTATGATTAGTTTTACTCATCATTTATTTGTCTCATTATTATTTTATTTTTACTATTACCATTATTATTTTTACTATTACCACTATTATGTTTACTATTAACTTATTATTTTTACTAAATAACTTTATTATTTTCACTATTAACAATATTACTTTTACTATTCCCATTATTGGCGGCGTCCGTGGCTAAGGCGTTGCGAGTCCAACTCGTAAGCTGGCATAAAAGTAAAAGTAAAGTAAAGATCCCTTTTCATGCCTTTCGGCGCATCGGGCATATGGGCAGAGCGTCCCATATTTTTACAGACCATCAGCACTCTGTGGGTATTGTGGTCAGCATTACGCCGGCTGTCTTTACTTTCCCAGGACAGCCCATCCTGGTACCCATTTTAGGCTGGGTCGAACTGCGACGTCCCATACCACGACAAAAATCCACACAGCCTGCAGTGGGTTTCGATCGCGGTATGCTGGCTTACGAGCCGGACTCGCAACGCTCGAAACCCACTGCAGGCTGTGTGGATTTTTATCGTGGTATGGGACGTCGCAGGTCGACCCAGCCTAAAATGGGTACCAGGATGGGCTCTCCTGACCACATTACCCACAGAGTGCTGATGGTCTGTAAAAATATGGGACGCTCTGCCCATATGCCCGATGCGCTGAAAGGCGTGAAAAGGGATCTTTACTTTTTTTTTTTAATTCCCATTATTATTTTTACTATTATCATTATTATTTTTACTATTCCCAAAATTATGTTTACTATTTAACTTATTATTTTTACTATTAACTTTATTATTTTCACTATTACCATTATTATTTTTACTATGACCTCTATTGTTATTCTCCCTTTTTATTTTTAATTATTACTATTATTATAACCCTTATTATTACCACTGTTACTTTTTTTGTTCCTTTATTTGTGTTTCATTTCTTTTATATTTATTCAGATGAGTTCTTTATGTTGGGGCTAACGTCTAGGGATTGCTTGTCTTCTACATGTGCGACTCATCAATAAAGGCTTCTGCCAAATCATCTTATTGTTTCTTTGTGTGTCATTTACAAAAATTTTCTCTTCCTCATTGAGCATCCTAGCAATAGTCCGTGTTTGGTGAATTCATGAATTCAGTTAGTATAATTGTCAATATTATCACTGCCACCATTACTATCAGCAACTCCATTATCAGCCCATCCTGTACTCTTCATCAACATCATCATCATGGGCTCTGCTGATTAGCATAGTCAGCACTGTTCATTTCAGAAGATCACCAGAATCATGGGTCATGTTTGTGCTTTGTATTCTGCCTATGTCATTAATGAACGAGCATATCAAATGGTCTGAAACTGGGCAAACAGGCCCATCTTACATTCAGCTTTTCCAAGCACTTATATTTTACACATTCTTATACTTATCCATTCCACTGACTCTTTTCCCATTTTTTTGTTTGCCAGCGTTGCTAAGTTTTCAAGATATTTCTCCTGATAACATGTCCACATGAAATACTCCACTGTTCATGACTCATTTCTCTAAACAGTTTACAGTCTTCATCTGTTTCTTGGCGTATGGCTCAACCATTTCTTCATCTGTTTCTTGGTGTATGGCTCAACCATTTCTTCATCTGTTTCTTGGCGTACGGCTCAACCATTTCTTCATCTGTTTCTTGGTGTATGGCTCAACCGTTTCTTCATCTGTTTCTTGGCACACGGCTCAACCATTTCTTCATTTGTTTCTCTGCTCCTCCCTGGTATCCTTCACACTTTTTCTCACACACCTAAATCCTATTAGAAAATTGTGAGCTTGTCTATTTACTGTTCATGTTGTTCTGTGGTTATAATAGTACAGGTGAACCCAATTTCTTTTCACTGCAGCTGATACAAATTTTTACAAATTTCTTTAGATAATTCTATTTTTATTCTCAATATCTTCAAAAATTTTCCTACAATTGCTTCCACAAGAAATGACCAGTTTTAATAATAAACACAGAGAGAAATGACAGAAACACACACTGAAAGCATTCATTTCATTGACACTTCATTCAGTTTATGAGTGAAATTTTACAGTGAGCCCTGGGAATCACAACTGGGGCTGTGTGAAAGGTTTAGCAGGTGGCTAGCCATTCTGCAGAGAGAGACTGAGCCAAATGGGAAAAACCCAGGGCAATAAAGTAAATCCTCTTGACTTTGCCATGACACCCACATCTCCAGAGTCAGTGGAGTCTGACTTTTGTCTGTTGTCTGGTGCATACTTTGAGCATACCACAAAGCAGACCAGGAAGACAGTGGAGCAGAGCAATTTTTTTGTTGTTTCTGGAAAAAGTGCCGGTACTCACCGCACAGTGTCTGGAAAGGTGTTGGTGCTCACTATAAAGTGTCTATTTACAGCAGCTCTTTAAAAAAAATTATGTCTAAAAAAATATTTTAAAAAAATCTGGTAATGTGTTTCACTGCATAATGCCATTAAAAAAAAGGCTTGCAGTAAACAGATAATGTACAGGCAGACTCCCCAAAAATTATGTCATAATTTGGAAAGAGAAGATGTGACGACACCAAGAAAACAATGGGGACAAAAGTAGGGAGATGTTGGCTCAGCCACACCCTTCTCCAACCCCCTGACCTTACACACTTTTTAGGCACACACACAAAAAAGGCATCTGGGTGGTCAAGGAAAATAATTCTAGTTTATGAGCATAATAATAATACTGTGTTGGATGATTGAAAAAAAAAAATTATATATCTGAAGCAATTGTAAACTTGTAAACAGTATTTATTTAGGTGGTTAAAACAAAAGGGGTGGGGGCATTTAGCCCTCATACAAACATTGTGGGGGTGGGGGGGGGGGTTAAAGGGTCTGAGCCAGGAGGCTCTGGTGCCCCTGAGAAATTCATCCACAGAGATAAATAGAGGTGAGCAAAATCTTCAGCAATGAACCTCACGGGCTCAGAATGCTGAACAAATAAATAAACTTTTCTCCGAAGAAATGCCTACTCTATAAACATTTTTTACTCTTTAACTTCACTCTGACCTTATCTTATGATTGTAAGAAGTCTTTGTAGATCAGTGAAATAACCCAAATTTCATGCATCCTATCCCACATCTGATTGGAGTGTGAGAGTTCAAGGAAGAACAAGATGAAACAAACATTAACCTCTAAAGTCTGAACTTTACAATGAATATCCTTGACATTGCCCACTCGGCATTTCTGTGACCTGATCATGTGATCCAGAACAGACAGCCAGTAGTGGAGGTCATTCAGAGATTTCTCAAACTCCGGCCATGAAACTGTAACTGCCGAAGGTTTGGCTTCCGTGCATGTTTGAGCTTGGCTGACTGTTACTGATAAAAATAGTAAAAATCATGCTTCAGAACGTCAGAATCAGAGTTATATGTAATCTTCCCACCAATACTGAAGTAAGAATAATAATAATTATTTTATACAATTTTCCTAACAATATTATATAAATTTTATTTTTAAAAATCAAAATAAAATTGAAGGACCCTTTTTATGCCCGGGCACACTGGGCATTTGATGCTAGACTCAACATTTTTGTCATCAGTCAATGTTTTCATTTGTGTGTTGTCCACATTGACCTACTTGTGCTCTGTTCTCAGATGCAGCAGCAATCTCAGTGTCTCCATGCTCAAGGTACCCAGTTGGAGCTGACTGACATTTCTTCTTTCTTTACCCCCACAACTGGTTTCTGCATGCCTGTCCTTGTTTTATATCCATTTTCAACAAGCAGTTCAAGGGGCTGCGTGGTCTTGAGGCATGGTGCCTACCTCGAGTGCTAGGGGTTCCAGGTCCAATCCATGGACCTAGACTTTCACTGAGTCTGTCACTATCAATGCATGAATTGCTTTCTGTTCTGCCAACCAGGCAAGTACCCTTGTGAAAGCTGCTATAGTTAACAAACTAGAAGTAGTTGAACAGAATTCCTGAATGCCAGACTTTCTTCTTTTACCATCTTCACTTTGATCTGCGCTATGTACGCCCAACCTGACTGTACACCAAGAATGACTGAGCCACCTGTATATCTGATAACCTCATCTTATTGAACGTGCTCTTGGATGAGGAGCCTTATTTTAGCGTCAGCGGCTGTTTTGCTCCATTCTCTGCAATACCTGCCTAAGCTGACTATTACCTCAATGTGCTCCTACAATTTTTCTGGTGTTCCTATCCAATCAACATAAAGCTTGTCATGTTCAAATGAGCAAACTTCTCTGCTTCTGGTATCCAGGACTGCTCCCTCTTCAGGTGCTCAACTTTGTTAACCAAAAAGCAGCCCTACAGAAGGAGTTTTATCAGCAGAGGGTATTTTATAGCAGCAGCAATGCACAGGTACCCCCTCCCCTTGGTCATTTTGTTTCTACTGACCATGCCTGGCAGGTCAAGAATATATCCATGGTGTCAAATGAGGTGTCTCTTGTGCACCTAAGGATCATTTTCATAGCTTCACTTTTCACTTTATCTAGTCTTTCCTGCTGATGTCTGCAGACTGTGAAGAGGCCAAGCCCACAGTCAATCAGTGAGAGCACCAAACCCTGATGAAGCATAAGCTGCAGTCTTTGTTCCATCGTAGCTGCTACTATCTCCCTGAGCACCACTAGACCTTTACTATCTTTTCTAATGACATCATCACTCTAGAGAACCATCTCATGAGAATGGAGAATATTCTTATACCAACTGCCACCTAGAACCATGCCAAAGAAATATATTAAATAGAAGGCAAATGAAAGATTTTGCAAAATATGGAATAATGTCACAGGCTTAAAGGAACAAAGATCAATGTACACAACACATAAGAAAGAGCAGACATATCCATACACCCCCACCCACTTAGAAGAAGTAACTGGAGGAGGAGAATAAGAAAACACAAACCTTGTTCCATAACTTCATTTTTCTCTGCCTTTCCTTGACTGGTAATTTTCATGACCATTTCTTTGATTTGTTCAAAGTCAGCATTCATCCTGTCAATTTTCATCTGAAGGCTGTCAACAACATCAGAAGTCTGGCCTCCACAAAGTTCCATCTGCTTTTGGAACGAGGCATTGATCTGATTTAGTTTTGCTTGTTGGGCTTCTATAGCATCACTTGTTATCTGAAAACAGATTGAAAAACATCAAGTCTATGTCAGCTTAAATAACCATTTACTATAAACAAAGGAAAATGTGGCCATTAACTTTCATCAGTAATGTCGGTGTATGCCATTGCCTTCAGTGCCGTGAAACCTCACCTGGTTCCAACTATGACAATGTCAACATGATGCTTACAAGACAAGCATATGTCAAAAGTCACTTCAAGGTATCTCCTTGTGTTCATTCTCTAGATGTCTATATTGCACATGCTCACTGACAATGTACTGTCAATGTGGGTGACAATGTTCTGACAATGTGGGTATTCAGGGAGAACTATGTGAAGGAAGCTTATGCCAGGTTTACCTGTGCTGTTGATAAAAAAAAGGTAAAGCATCAATGCACATGGTTATAAACCATAAGTGCTCTGCTGATTCATGGCACCACTCGCTGAGTTGGCCTAATTCATGCTGTTTTGTCTACTTTCTCCTAATTTCGTTCTTTTTAGGATGAAATTGTTTGTTATTTGAAGCCCCACCCTGGCTTTTGCCAGGGGCCGCAATATAGGCAGGCCATAAATATGGCCAATTGTCTGAACGCGGTGTCTGGGACCTCTCCACAGCGATCCTCATCCACATGGTGGCACTTTGTGTCATCAGGTGTTTATCGCTTGTGTGATGTCCTAGTGGGGTAGAAAGTCAGTCAATTCATGCTGTAGCAGTGTCGTAATTTCATCCCTGCTGTTTCCTCCCCAGTACACCAAGGATGTCGTCTGCAAACGACACTGTTTTGCCGTGACCTACTATCTGTGCACTGGTGACTACTGATGTGTACACAGTGAAGGAGCCAGACTTTTTTCAAAAATAACCTTGACTCCCAGGTCGACCCAGCCTTGAGTGGGTACCGGGTGCAGTCTCAGGCCGGCGTGACGATGACCACATCACCCATTTTGTGTTGATTGGTCTATAAAAATTTAGGTCTAGCCCTATACGCTCGAAGGCGTGGAAAACGGACCTTTACTTTTACTTTTACACAGTGAAGAGAGGAGCAGACAATGATGATCCTTAGAGGCAAGACCATTTAGACACGTTGAGGCTATGATGCCCATGTACCACATGGCATCAGTACTGTTCTTTTAAAGGGCTCTGCTGCGATCCAGTTCACTCATTCTGTCTCTGTGTGCATGTCCAAAAGCAGTCTTATATGCATGATGTATGGAATACTGTTGTATGGAACATTGTTGTATGGAATACTGTTGTATGGAACATTGTTGTATGGAATACTGTTGTATGGAACATTGTTGTATGGAATACTGTTGTATGGAACACTGTTGTATGGAATACTGTTGTATGGAATACTGTTGTATGGAATACTGTTGTATGGAATACTGTTGTATGGAATACTGTTGTATGGAATACTGTTGTATGGATTACTGTTGTATGGAATACTGTTGTATGGAATACTGTTGTATGGAATACTGTTGTATGGATTACTGTTGTATGGAATACTGTTGTATGGAACATTGTTGTATGGAATACTGTTGTATGGAATACTGTTGTATGGATTACTGTTGTATGGAATACTGTTGTATGGAATACTGTTGTATGGAATACTGTTGTATGGAATACTGTTGTATGGAATACTGTTGTATGGATTACTGTTGTATGGAATACTGTTGTATGGAATACTGTTGTATGGAATACTGTTGTATGGATTACTGTTGTATGGAATACTGTTGTATGGAACATTGTTGTATGGAATACTGTTGTATGGAATACTGTTGTATGGATTACTGTTGTATGGAATACTGTTGTATGGAATACTGTTGTATGGAATACTGTTGTATGGAATACTGTTGTATGGAATACTGTTGTATGGAATACTGTTGTATGGATTACTGTTGTATGGAATACTGTTGTATGGAATACTGTTGTATGGAATACTGTTGTATGGAATACTGTTGTATGGAATACTGTTGTATGGAATACTGTTGTATGGATTACTGTTGTATGGAATACTGTTGTATGGAATACTGTTGTATGGAATACTGTTGTATGGAATACTGTTGTATGGAATACTGTTGTACACATCTTCTAAGCCAATGGTGGCTGTGGCAGTTTACATTCATGCTTGAAAGCCCTCATAATGTCATGATCAAAAACTGCAGCATTCCACCAAGAACCCGGACGGTACCCCTCCTAGTGTAGCTTCCAAACGACCATTCAACTCTTATTTCTGGGTTAACATTCTGGCCACAAATTTGTCCATGAGTTTCCCCATGTTGTTCTGGAGTGTAGTGATTCTATAGCCATTTATTTTTGCATCTAGGAATGAAAGGAAGGTTGCTGAATGAAATAAAAAAGAGACAGATGAATTATTCTGGCCCTATTAAAAGACATAACATTCTTTTAAAAACCATACTGAAGGGAAACGTTTAGGGCAAGAGAACAAGACTAAAACAATTATACTTCCTGTGTGGGTTCCGAGGTCACATTGTGGGGGAAACAAAAATAGATCCACTACCTCCCCAACAAGCATGTCGTAAGAGTTGACTAACTGGGAGCTTCCTTCGAAGTCAGTTGGCGTCTGGCTGAGGCGTTACGAATGTGATTCTTTAAGCTAGAGTGCCAGGTTTGACCCCACCTGCAGGTGAACTGAAAGCACACCTTTTTGGGTTTGTTTCAACAGTGGTACTGAGAGCTGACCATTCAGTAAGCAATGGCAACCTACTGAATTTACCTAGAAACACCACAACAGCCAAAAACTGCTGGGGTTGGTTCTGCAAGATCTTTGAAGGAAACACAGCTAACCTAACTTCAAAGCTGGAGTGCATCTGCCTGAGAGGCAATGAAACACCAGTCTGCATGACCAGTCTGCTAGACATGTAAAATGGATATGTACACAACATTCAGGTTCTGGAACAAAACTCAAGTTCAGAGGTGGAAAAACAACCATAATTTTCTGCCATGGTTTACAACCAGTGAATGTGAAGAAGAAAAAGAAGAAGAAACAATGATATGAGAGAGAGGATAACATCAAGAGATGGACGAACAATAGTTTCAAAGAGTGTACCAACAAGACAAGAGGATGCTGGAGATCCTTTGCAGCCAACCTCTCCTGTCGGTGATAGAATATAAACTTGACATGCTTACCATATCAAAGATTCAGCTGATGAAACTTGAATGCAGACAGAATGAAGCCATGCAGGTAATTCTGGGATGTACAAGAGATACCCTGGTAGTATGTATGCGATATATGCTTGCACTGCCTACTATTGCAGACAGGCTGAATGTTCTGCAAGCAAAGTCATATTTCAGAGTAGCTGCAGACAAGAAGCACCTTCTGCATGATGCCCTGGGTAGAGCTAAGGGTCACAGACTGAAAGAGGAAAGTTTTGGATGGTGCAAGCTGAAGACACAATCAGACTTGTGTGCAGGCTTGATAAATTTGTGCGAGGTGAGGAGTGGGTCAAAGTGTCCGAGCAAGTTTCAGACTTGTGCAGGGTTCTTATAACTTTGCGTCGTGAGTGTAGGGACTGGCCAGTTGGTGCTGCAGAATCAGAAGTTCAACAAATGATTCATGACAATTCCCGACCTTGTGATGTGATTATCTATACAGAGACTCTGTGGTGAGGGGCAGATGACGTGCATGGGGGTTTATAGCAGAGGCGAATGAACGTCGCTTAGTGCAACAAAGCCTGGCACATGATATCACAACATCTAGTCTGAGAATGGAAGTGCAAGCAGTCACTGCTGCATTCCACTGGCTTGAGAATAAGCTGTACACACATGCCGTGCTTGTAACTGACTCACAGAGCATGTTCAGAAAGGTGGCGAGAGGTATGCTCCGTGCAGAGTGGCAAGTATCACTTCAGAGGTCCTGAGTAGTTAGCATCCTTTGGATATTCTCTCCAGGATATGCAAGTGTTTTGGGAAATGTGCAGGTAGATAGACTGGCCTGTTCTGGACCACTTGGTGGTGAACTGATGTATGACAAGCTAGATGTTGTGAAGGCCCCCTGGGAGTGAGTGAACAGTGCTTAAGAACAAACAGATCATTACGGTCTGAGGAGAATGGTGCTGTGAGGAGTTACCAGGGGATCTGGCTGATGCTCACCACTCAAGGGAAAGATGAGATAGATAAACAATCATACAGTTACTAGTACCATCGGAATTGGAACTCTTCGGTTGCTGCTAAATATGGAGATGGATCGCTTATAGGAGTGTCCTGAGTTCTATGATGTCGATTTTTAATTCAACATGCAGCCAACCTTTAGTTTTACCTGGAAACTGCTAGCAATCCTTGCATCATCATTATCCTCATCATCAGTATCATCATCATCAGGCTGAGATGCTTGGCCTGCTTGTCTCTCAAGAGCAGCACGCATTCCCACAATCCACTTTTGCATAGCATCTATGTCTTCATTTAAGTATCGAACCTTCTTGATTTCCTCTTCAATATAGCGAATTTTTTCTGGGAAATCAGAGGTCACCTTCAGAAACAGAAAACATGTCAGTTTGAGGTTATTAATGTCATCATTTCAGTTCTGATGTCAGATATATAACATAAACTCCACAACGGCTCAAGTTCCTACATTATTATTATTGTTGTCATAAAAGAGTTTTCTATTTGAACTTTCTAGCATCAATAAAACTCATTATTTTCATTTATTTTGGCAGAATTGCAGAATATAATATATACTGGGGATAGATAGCTTTAGGGCTCACAAAAACAAAGGTTTGCAAATAAGGGGTTAATAAACTTTAGGACAGAATACTTGTATACCAGATAACTAGAAATATTTCCAATGATAGATTACATAATATGAAAAGTACACTTAAAATACATTAAACCTAACAATCTATCCTCCTACATTTTGCTACAAAAAATATTTAATTTATGCAAAATTTAATAACCAAAAGTAACTGACAAGCAGAAATGTAGAGCAGTGAGACAGAAAATGAGGATATATCCCAACCCAAATGGGTTGAACAGGATATCAGTATTTGTTTACTACAAAAGGAAATACGGCTCTTATCAAAGACTGCTGAAAATACTTTTAATTCTTTGCCAGTTCCGCAACCTGATGCACATTCTTCTCTATGTACATGTTGTGTCTGTGTTTATGTTTTGTTTCTAAGCGTATGTTTTGTGTTTGTGTGCATATGTTGTGTTTATGTGTTTGTGTTGTGTCAGTGAGTATGTATTGTGTTTATGTGTGTTGTATCAGTGTGTATGTGTTGTATCAGTGTTTATATGTTGTGTATGTGTGTATGTGTTGTGTCAGTGTGTATGTGTTGTGTCTGTGTACAGGTTGTATCTGTGTGTATCTCATGTTTCTGTGTGTATGTGTTGTGTCTGTGAGTGTGTATACCTTGTGTTTCTGTTGATGTGTTGTATGTGTGTGTATGTGTTGCATGTGTGTGTGTGTGTGTGTGTGTGTGTGTGTGTCTGCACCTGTGTGTTTATGTACCTGTGTGTGTTGTGTCTGAGTGTCTGCGGTGTGCCAGTGCATGTTGTGTCTGTGTATGTTGTGTTTTTGAGCATCATATTGTATCTGTGTGTACTGTGATTGTGAGTGTATTATGATTGTGTGTGTTATGTCTGTGTATGGTGTGTCTGTATGAATGCTGTCTGTGAGTATGTATGTGTGTGTGTGTGTGTGTGTCTGCATCTGTGTGCTTGTGTACCTGTGTGTATGTGTTGTGTCTGTGTGAAAATATTGTGCATATGTTGTTTCTGTGTGTGTTTTTGTCCATGTGTATGTGTTTTATATGTGTGTACTATGTGTGTGCTGTGACTGTGTCTAGCGTCTGTGTGTGTGTGTTGGGTGCCTGTGTATTTGTGTCTGTGTATGTTGTGTCTGTATGCATTTTGTATATGTGAGTATGTGTGAGTGTATGTGTGAGTGTATGTGTGTGTTGTGTCTGTGTATGGTGTGTCTGTATGAGTGCTGTTTGTGAGTATGTGTGTGTGTTGTGTGTGTGTGTCTGTATCTGCGTCTGTGTGTTTGTGTACCTGTGTGTATGTGTTGTGTCTGTGTGTATGTATTGTGCATATGTTGTTTCTGTGTGTGTTTTTGTCCATGTGTATGTGTTTTATATGTGTGTACTGTGTGTGTGCTGTGACTGTGTGTCTAGTGTCTGTGCTGGAGGCCTGTGTATTTGTGCCTGTGTATGTTGTATCTGTGTGTGTTGTATCTGTGAGTATGTGTGAGTGTATGTGTGACTGTGTGTGCATTTTTGTGTTTCTGTGTGTGTTGTGTCTGTATGTCCATGTTTTGTATGTGTAGTTTCTGTGTATGTTTTGTTTCCATGTTTATGTGTTTTATATGCATGGACTGTGTATGTGCTGTGAGTGTGTGTGTGTGTCTTGTGTCTGTGTGTGCTGTGTCTATGTGTGTTATGTCTGTGTGAGTGTTGTGTCTGTGAGTGTGTGTGTGTGTCCGTGTATGTATATGTGTTGTGCCTATGTGTTGGTGTCTGTTCTACTGCCTAACTTGTTTTTCTGCCTCAAGTGTTCTGTGTTGTATGTACATTTTGGCATACATACGTGTTTTAGTTGTTATGAAGGTGTTGAATAAAACAGTAAAGTAAAGATTCCTTTTCCTGCCTTTAGGTGCATCCGGTATATAGGAAGAGCGCCCATATTTTTTCTGACCATCGGCACTAGGTGGGTAATGTGGTCAGCATTACACCGATGGAGGTGTTGAATGCATTTGTATTTTTATTTTACTTTCATACTATGAATTTTTATAAATGAAAATAATAAGCTTAACATTGAAAACACAACTGCTGTGTTAGAGATAAGTGTCTGAAAGGGCTGAATGTAAGAGGGACCTGCATGCTCAGTTTATAACCCCTTGGAAAAAAAATTTGTTCATCAGTTAATTTGTTTGTGTCCAGAGCGTCTGCAGTGCCCATCTTTATATCTGTCAACCACTGTCTTTTGTCTGAGGACTGTACCATACATTATTATTCCTTCTAAACCACTACTCTCCATTGTATGTTGTATGCCCCTTGTCATTGTTGGATGACGCATGCTCTAATGATTCACAGAGCTGTGCTGGTGGGGGACTTGTGCCACTGGCAGGTTTAAACTCGTAGGACAGGTCTTGAGGTGTAGGGTCAGACAAAACTAGAACCCTGGTCCTTTAGGCTGGGGGTGGGGGAGGGGGGGGGGAGGGGTTGATAACCCATTGCTCTAAAAAATTACTTTGTTACTGAAACATGATTAGGTGAAAACACTTAATTGGAATGCTAAAGAAGAAAAAGATTATTAGAAGAGAAAAACTGGAAAGAGAAACAAGAGAAGAGAATATTCTCCTCTGTTGACATATATGGATCATACTACACATAATGAAGAAAACAAATCAGGCTGGATTGCTTTTCATTAGAATAAATCCACCACTACAAGGAGTGTAACAGAGAAAAAAAAAGATAATTCACTGATACCTTATCCCATGTGGCATTGAGGCTGTCTATATCCTGCTGAATGTGCGCCCGATCTTCATCAGTAACTATGGGTGAGTGCAACAGTTTACTTCCACTGCTGTTCACAGAGAACAGACTGGCCTGTTTATCAGCAACTTCATCTTTTTTGTCCTGGGATTTAAAAACAACATTAATGTTGTATACATTACGTAATTTATCACATACAGTTCAATGTTCACAACTGAAATGCTAATTAGTTGATAGAGCAGCAGAAGGGAGAGTACTAAAAGCTCAGGCAGTATACGGGTGTGAATGTGGAAGTTTAAGTTTTCACAATCATAATGTTTATTGTAAACTAGACATGACTGAGCTACCGTATTACAGTAGTCAGTACTATCTGTTCTCTGCTAACATTGAATGTTGGGTGGAGTCTGAAAAACTTATCATCCACATTTTATGGGCAGATGATGCAAAAAGGAAACATGAGTAGATTGTGAAAACAGAAAATGGATGGGAAGACAAAGAAGGAATATATTAGATGATCTGGCATCATATGACAGAGGAACAATAAAGTAAATAAAAGTAAAGCACACTTGTTTCTAATGTCAATGGTGCATCCGGCATATGAGGCTAGGCTTAATTTTTTTTATTTACTGACCAATAGGTCAAGACTACACTCCTGCCTTTACTTCCCAGGACATTATCTAGTACCCATTGAAGGCTGTGTCAACCTAGCAGCCAAGGTGAATTTCGGAACAAAGAATCCACCTAGATGTGGATTTAAACCTAAGACCTTCAGGCAGGGAGCTTTGGATCTAGCCCCTATTCTACTGAGGCAGCTGATGGAGGAATGTCTGTACCAAAAAAGACTGGCATTATGCCTGAGAGGCAGATGGTTTTAGGCAAGCATAATGGCCAAATCCACACAGAACAGAGTATATGAGGCAGAAAACTACTGACCTTGATCTTCTCCAATAAATCCTCCAGGTACAAACTGCTTGGCCTGAGACTGGAACCAATCAGATTTTCTGTTTCATCAATCCAGGAGTAAAGATCATCCATCTCCTGAGAGAAGTCTGCTGGCTGGGTGGTTACATCTTTATTCTCACTGCTGACAGACAACCACCAGACAACACGTTAGTTCTATGGTGTACTGAATGTTGGAAGAACCCAGGGTGGGTTCCAGGGCCCCATTTTGGGGAGGAAAAAGTACAGACCCACTGCCCTCTTAACAAACATGGGCTATTCTCCAAATAATGGTCCCAAATTATTGAGGCCGAAAATATACCCTAACAGGGTCTCAGTCACATGTAAATTGCCGACCTCTTTCCGGCGACTATACCGCCACCGCCCAGAGTATCTCGCGCCGCTACGCATGGAGTGGGGATAAACTTTATGGCTTGGACTCACGAACAAATGAAAGGGAGGAAGCTACAGGAGATGTGGTCACTGCTGCTTGTGAGTCCCAACCATCTAGTTTAGCCTCGCTCCACGCCGCGCATGGCGGCATGGGGGAAACTCTCCGCAGTAACTTTAACTCGGCAGAAGCTTTTCCCCGGTATGCTTTGTAGTCGCCGGAAAGAGGTCTGCCATTTACATGTGACTGAGGCCCTGTTAGGGTATATTTTCGGCCTCGATAATTTGGGACTGTTATTCGGAGGACAGCCCAAACATGTCACAAAGGTTACTAATTAAAATTTGCTGAAATCAGATGTGTTGAACTGAAAGCTGCAGATACTGCAGCCTAGAGTAACATACCAACTACCCTTTTTAAGAGTGAACTCAGAAATGACGTTTTTTGCAAATACCAGGGATACCAAACCACTGGAATGCACGTACGCACACATCCATCCACCCACACATACACCTTTTATATATTCAATTTTCTAAACAAGCTAACAAATAAAACTGATCCTAACAAATAGCTTCTTTATATATATTGTCACTGGATCTACAGAGTTCATGCTTTATGTGACGCTTTTTGGCAGGTGGCTAGTTGGCTGGCCATTCTAAGGAGATGGACTGTGAGTTATGGGATAAAACAAGATTCAATGAAGACAGTCTTCTCTACTTTAATTTTAACTTTCTTTATACGGACTGTTCCGTAAAAAAGACTGGGTCCTATCTCAATTTTTGTTCCGAAAATGCTTTAGGGTTTTTTCCAGAGATGTTTTATTTTTTCATGTATAAAAATCTATATTTATATTATCATTTATTTAAAACAATAAAGTCAATATTTACTTATATCTATTTATACATTCATTACTTTATAATCCAACATATCTATTGTATTTTAACAGATGTACAAAATCTGTTGATCTGATTGACAGTCTTAACTACAGCATATTTTTGGGGTAGGATTTATATTACAAGCAGTCTCCTAAAATCATACTGAGGTTTATTGTTGGGTTAGGTTTATTTCTGAGAGAAACAGTAAGTACAGGTTTGCACACATAAAACACAACTGTTATATTAGGAAGTTCATCATCATCATCATCATCATAAGCCACTTCTGCCATTAAGCATCGTGGGGAGGAATAATTTGCGATCCAGTGCACGTTGGCTGCCACTGGCTATTGTCATGCCGTGAAGGCGTAGAGTGTCTTTAATGTTGTCGATCCATGTTTTTCGCTGCTGTCCTCTTGCTCTTGTAGTTGATCTTCTGAGATGTAGTGCTTGTGATGGTATTTGATCTTGCTGCATTCTAATGAGATGGCCAAACCACTTGATCTGCTGTTTTTCGATGAATCTAGTACAAGGTGTCGTTCCCACAATTTGCCTGATAGTTTCATCATTCACTCGATCTAGTATGGTTAGGTTGGCTGCTTTTCTCAGGCACCTCATCTCGCAGGTGGTAATTGTGCGTATATGGGCTTTAGATAGTGTCCATGTTATTAGGAAGTTTGCACACATAAAACACAACTGTTATATTCTGAATTATGCACAATAAATCACACTTGCTTTAAATATTAATTCTGTGGATTCATTTTATCTTTTAATATTTATTCATGGCAGTTGCCTCTTTGGAATGCTCTGTTTAGTTTTCAACTGCTGAGGGGTTTGTACATGCTCAGCATGCACACGGCTACTGTTAATCTACTGTCCTTATCTAAAATGACTAGAAGTTTCAGGTGCTAACCTAGAATGAGAAGTACACCATTCATTTGTTGCTGTAAAATCCCTTACTATTCACGTTATGAATCATGGAAGGTCTTTTTGGAATTAGCGTCTGATGCAATGTCTCTACAACACTTGACCCAGTTCATTGGTTGATATATCTTGTTTTTCTTCTCACTGTCTTCTTCTTCTTCTTCCTCCTCCTCTTATTATTCTTCTATCTTTGTCTTTAAAAGAATGGTTAGCCTGTTATTTCCAGCAAGTCTGTGCTCTTTATGTCACACACATCCAGTTTCATTAAACCTCTAATTAGTTGCCTTTCACAACACACTGGTTAAAAGGCAATGGGGGTTTTCTTTATTTCAAACAGAACATGTGGCTCCAGAATGCTGCACATTGGGAAGCTGATACATCTTCAGTCTGTAGTAATTATATAGAAATGGTGGACCCATAAATGTATCATGTCATTCTCCTGGACAGAGAAGCTGAGTTGAGTTGAGTTAAAAATTGACATCACAGAACTCGGGGAATTAGCATGTGTGCTCCGTCCTCATCTTCAGCAGCCAGTGCAAAGTTCCAATTCTGATGGTACCGGTCACAATCTGGTTATATGTCTGTCCTGCCTTTCACCTGAGTGTAGTGAGCTGGCCAGACCCAGGTGCTTCATTCTCTTCAGGCCATTATAATTTTGTTTCTCTACTGATTCCGTTGCTTGTTCCCAAAGGGCCTTGACCACGTCTGCCTTGTCATGTATCAATTTACCACCTATTCATGCAGATCCAGCCAATGTGTCTGCCTGTTCATTACCCACCACACCGGTAGAGCCTGGAGAAAATATCCAAAGTATTTTCCTGGGCATTAGGCAGAATACGTCTGTTCTTACAATAACACAGCTTGGGTGATGTGGTCAACATCATACTGGCCTCCTTTACTTCCCAGGACATTGCCTAGTTTACCGATTTTAGATGAAATCAACCTAGGAGCCAAGGTAAGTTTTGAGTAATGAATCAGACTCAATACAGATTTGAACAAGACCTTTGAGCTGGCAAGTCAATGTCTAGCCACTATATTACAATGCAGACTGTCTCAAAGTATAACCTGCTGTAAGACCTACTTTTTATGCTGTGCCAGGACATCTGAACACAACGCCTTCCACCGACAGTTGAAGTGCTGCAGATTATCCCTGAGTCTGTCAGCGTTGGCTTCTGAGGCATTCTGGACAACTTCTTCTAAGGCACTGTTTACCTTGGCAAGGGTACTTTGTTGCTCACACAAGCTTGACTCTAAGTCCTGCAAGGAGCCAGCAAAACTCAGCTTAAAAAACAAAGAAGAAAGCGAGGAACAGAGATCTGAAGAAACATGTTAAAAGAGCATGACAGAGTCTGCAATTCTCTTGGAAACTGCCCTATCTATCTTTCTCTTGGGAACTGCCCTATCTAATGGGGTCCATCTTGTACAAGGGGCTTGACATCCATCACAGCTTGATCTAACATTTTTGAGTTACAGTCCTTGCCTTCCATATCTTTCTCTGGCTAGTATTCATTTCCTGTATTGACATATGCCTCAGAGATTCATCTGGACAGACAGACAAGTATCTTTTCTGTGAGAAACCTGTTAGAGAATTTTACGCATTCTTGTTTGCAAATTAACATTTTCTATTTATGTCATGTGCTGATGAAGGTTTTCTAACCTCAGCGTTCACTTGTCATTCATGATTGTGATTATATAAAGCTGACTAGTTATACTTGTTTTTTGGTCTGATATCTTCTCATGATAAAAGACAAAAGCAGTTTCCTTTGAGTAAATAGATGTAAAGTTAAAAGAAGAACCATTTTCCCACCATTGCTGCCTTGGCCATATAGTACTAGGCTCATAGTTTAAAGACTAATCAGTACTTGATAGGTGATGAGGTCAACACCAAGCTGGTCCCCTTTACTTCCCACACAATATTCTGAGGCTAATTTTAGGTCTTGATCAATCTGGGAGCCGAGGTTAGTTATTGAAGATCTGCCTTGATAAGCATACAAACTCAAGATCCTTGGAGTCAATGGCTTATGTCTAGGTTCAGAAGGAGTTTCAACCATGGATGAGCCACCAGCCTGCAGCATGAGAGACAGGGAGACATATATATGGAGGAGGGAGACAGACAGAGGGAGATCAGGCAGATAGAGAAAGATGAGAAGAAAGAAAGTGTCAGAGATAGGGAAAAGAAAGAGGAAAAATAGAGGGGGATGACAGAGAGGGTGAGAAAGACAGAAAACAGAGAGAGGGAGAGAGAGATTAGGAAAACAGAGACAGAAATAGAGAAGAGGTAGAGAGAAAGGTGTGTGTGAGCAAATGTGTAGTGAGAGAGAAAGAAAGCGAGTAGAACAGAACATAGACAAGCAGGAACAAAGGGGATCCAACCTCATTTAGAGTTTTTCTCTGTTCCAGGGGGGCTTCTTTAGCACGGGCTAGAGTGTTCTCTGCTTTCTCTAGCCAGGATGTCAACTCTTTGAGTCCTGTCTGCAGAACCCTCCACTGGTCCTTGATCCGGTTCCACTGCCTGTAATGAAATGTGGATGGGGTTCACTTAACAATACACTTCCACTTTAAGTTATATACCATTTGTTTCTTTCTTTTTGTTTTTATTCTTGGCTACAGCAGTCCACTTTACCAAAGATAAACAGATTGACAGACTTTCAGTCAGGCCAGATAAATAGTCTGAAAATCACACAGATACAGAATCAAGTTAGACAGACAAGAGTCAAAAGACAAATGTTCAGCACAGATAGATAAACAGTTAGTAATTAGGTCAGTCAGACAGAAATTCAGAGACCTCTCCATGAGTAGAGAAAAGAAGAAAGAAGAAGACGTTATTCAAGACAGCTAATATAAAACAAAGAGAAAGAGCCATATATGTAAATCATTTATCTGGCAGGGGGGGGGGGGGGGGGGGGAGGAGGAGGTCAGACAAGCATACACACAGAGACAATCCCAACTTATGTCGGGTGGAGCAAACAAGCACAAAGACGGACAAGCTCAACATACTTCTGAATGGCGGTGTGTATGTCGCTGAGCTTGGACCACTCCTGCAGGACTGCCTCCAACTGGGACCTGATTCTACTGGCCATCTCCTGACTGGCTTGTAAGATGACACCATCCTTCTTGTTCTCCAGCTTGGTCAAACTTTCCTGGATCCCGCAAACCTGGCGTTTTGTCTCCTGAAAATATCAGATTAAGTCAGGGATGTCCCTTCTTTCCGTTTCTTTAAGTGGAAATAAAAAAGTCTGTGTATTCATATTCAAAATACCAGGTGAGAGGGGTGGACATTATTCTGATGTAGGACCTCAAATTATTTCAAAGTACTGTCCCTTGTCGATTAGGTCCCCTACCCCTGGATGAACAGAAGACTGAAAGAATGTACCACTAAGAAAACAAGAGACAGATCTATTTGGAAACCCACTGAAGCCAACCTTTACTGTGGAGACAGCTATTCTTTTATTTCACCCCATCTTTGGGGCTGCAAGATTTCATAGGGAATTCCTAAAAAGTTCCCTGGAGAGTCCTATATTATAGATAGGGGGTTTAGGGTTAATGTTAGTCGGTATTAATTTAATACTAACCCTAAAACACTATAACTATATTCTAGGGGTGTCATGTGTTGGCTATTTTCATCGGTTTTTGAGTATTTATTTCCACTGTCTGTTACTTTCATACGTTCGTTGATATCACTGTGGCCTGTTTGGAAGTGGCGCTCTTACTTCGTGACTTTGACTTCGCCATGAATTTCTTCGGCATATCAGCAACTAACCCTAACCCACCAGTATACATACATGAAATCTGTCGGCCCTATTCAGAGCACTCCCCCGCCACCACCCTTACATGGATTTTTTTCAGGGCCTGCCCTAAAATATCCCCAATTCGTATCCTAGTCCCTAAGTTCTAGCCAAGAGAAACACTGGTTGAAGCCAAACTGTACAGGTCACCAAGGGAATTACACAAGACAGTGAAGTTCATACTAGAGACATTGCAGATATAGATCATCTTTTTGGGTGAGCGGAAGAAGAAGAAGAAGAAGAAGAAGAAGAAGAAGAAGAAGAAGAAGAAGAAGAAGAAGAAGAAGAAGAAGAAGAAGAAACTAACCCTAACCCCCTATAATAAAGGACTGTCCGGAGAACTCCCTAAGAATTCCCTACAAAATCTCGCAGCCCCTAAGATGAGGTGAAATAAAATAATAGTACCCAGAGGGCACCTGATTGAATGATAAATAGTGAACAAATTGAAGCAGATGCACAAGTTAAAATATCCTTGCCGGAAAGAGCTGCTAGTTATACCAGGCTGTGTAGCCATTTTGGATGCCCTAATTATAACTTCTTTGGGTGTTGAACAGGGTATCTGAGATTTGCACCAATGGTTCCCATCCGTATTGAAACTCTATAATTTCAGGGAGAGTCAAACCATCAGGTAGCAGCCTGGATGGCAAACACAAGAGGAAGGGAGGAAGGATTAAAGGAAAGGGTAAGGGAGAAAGGAAGGGAGTGATAGACAGGGTAGGGAGGAAGGAAGGAAGTGTATGCACTAATAAATTATCTTTACCTTTAGCTTTTCAGTGTGCGACTCCCTGGCAACATCATCTAGTATGTCAGCTTGCCCTGTCTCAATGGAGGTCCTCAAATTCGAAATTCGATCAAAAAGACAACGGAGTTGCTGGAGGTACTGGGCAGGTGAATGATCCACAACATCCGTTTTCCCTATAGAAGGGGCTGTGGCTTCAGTTGTAGTTGCAGATGCAGCAGTTACTGTTTCAGAACTGGGTGTTGGGGTATGTGCGGATGATTGGGGTTCACCTAGTGTCTTCTGTGAGACTGGAGCAAAAGCGAGCGATGAAGTGGGGGCGATAGTGTGAGCTGAAGTGGGGGCAGTAGTGTGGGCTGAAGTGGGAGCAGTAGTGTGGGCTGAAGTGGGGGCTGTAATGGGAGCTGAAGTTGGGGCTGGAGTAGGAGGTGTGGTGGGGGCTGGTGAGGATGATGATGTGAGTGATAGGAGTGAACTAGGACGGCGGTTATCAACTGAAGACTCGCTGTTTGTGGTTCCCGGCTGAACTTTGGTTTGCCTGTCAGCATCAAGAACAGCCGAGACAACCAAAGTATTCCCATCACGTTTCTTGAGTTCATCGACCACCTGGTGACAGACAAATGAAGAATGCACATTAACTTATTCAGTATTAAGCATCTCACCATGTGGTTGTTTCAACAGACAGAATATACTCTTCTCAACGCCTTCTGAATATCCAGATGATGTATTAATATACTCAGATCCAATTTGCAATATTTTATGCAATCTTTCTTTGTCAACTGAGACGAGAAATAGCATTTTTTTAAAGCTATATACATCCTATCTTGCTATACGGAAGTGAATCATGGAAAGTTGGTAAATTGGTGAAAACTTATTTGGAAGCTGCTGAGAAGTGGTTTTGCATGCCAATGATGAGAAAACCCTGGACAGATAAAAAGAGTAATAAAGATGTCTTGAAAGAAACCGACTCACACAGAGAACTGATTGCCTACATCATAGAGACAGTCTACATTCTTTGGTCATGATGAGAAGGAGAAAACTGCTGTACACCCTGACAGTAGGAGGCAGCAAAGTTCTTCCACTTTGTGCTTAGATATGTGGGTATTTTACTCATTTCTCTGCGAGATACCGGGTCAATAATGTCCTTACTTCCTCCTTGATTGACCTATTTCAATAGCATGTAAACTTTGGCTACAAATGACCAACCTGGCAAGTAGGAATAGTGCATGTCTGTTGTCTCGCTTTGCCAAAACTCAATTATTGTTACCATAGGCGAGCTCCTAGCCCCTTGCCCCACCCCCACCTTTCCCCCCACACTGTAAAAACATATGAGGGGGCAGTAGTGAGCGATAAATTACCTAAGGCGTAGAACCCCCCCCCCCCCCCAAACCCCTGCTTTCCACTCTACCCAAGTAATTCGTAATGAGGCTGACCCTACCCCTTAAAAATAGGCAAGTGGGCTATGTGGTTCTCATAACCACGAAAAGACGTTCACTTTTTCACAAACGTATTTGCTTATACATTTTATTTTTGACTTTCGGCCCCGTATGGTGGACAGGCTTGAAAGAATATTAAGTTTCTGGGTTATTTTAGCTCCTTACAACCCTTTGCTAATGCAGTTTCCAAATATGGACGAAAGTCTAGTTTCACTGCCTAAGCTACTGAGTTAAGTGCTTGGTGATGCACCGTGAGCTGTGTTTTTTTTTCTACCACAACGTTAGCGGTGGCGGAGGTGGCTATGGCGGCGGCGACGGCTGCTGCTGCTCCTGCTGCTGCTCCTACTACTACTGCTGCTGCTGCTGCTGCTACTACTGCTGCTGATACTACTGCTACTACTGCTGCTGCTGCTGCTGCTACTGCTGCTGCTGCTGCTACTACTACTACTACTACTACTACTACTACTACTACTACTACTACTACTACTACTACTACTACTACTACTACTACTACTACTACTACTACTACTACTGCTACTTCTACTACTACTACTACGTTTCTAATTATTTTCTTCTTCTTCTTCAGCATTCCGATCCCTTGGGGTTTATTGCTGCAGATACCACCAGCCTCTATTCATCTCTGTGGTTGGCATTCTCTTTCCAGTTGGTGACACCAAGTGTTTGTAGGTCTGTCTGGATTATCTCTCTGTCGTCTTCTTGGTTAGCCTCGTAGTCTACGACTATTCAGACATTCAGGTCCCTTGTGTACACAGTGTTTACATCTCTGTCGTCTGACATATATCTCAGTATGCTCCATCCATTTCAGTCTATTAGTTCTCATAATGCCAGTGATCAATCGTGACTTAAACAGACCACGAATGTCCCTATTGCTTAACATTCTCCATTCCCCGCTGTTTGCATCTCTGATGGTTTCAGTGACTGGTCGTAAGACTGATTATACACTGTAACGAAAATTTTACATTTTAATTCATCTACAAATGTCTCTTGTATGAATGTTTCTTGTAATCTTTTTGTGTTGTATTTTGGATGTGATATTTGCAACTTGATGTAGAAGGATCTCTTATGCTTGATTTTTATTTTGGTACCAGCCAGGTAGTAGCTACTATAGCACTTGTTGTATGTTCGATGCATTTCTATTATTTATTGAAACGTAATCTGTGGAAGGAGGAATAGATTAAGACAACGAGAGAGAATTCTTGACAGTCTTGTTGCATGGCATGGAGGTGTGTCAGCACACGAACTGATACATGCTGCTGGAGATTGCGGATTTTGGAGAGGCATAATCGCCCACTCCAGTCGGCATGACACCTGATGATGATGATTAAAACGTGATGTATTTGATTATAAGTTTTTTTTTTTTTTTTTTTTTTTTTTTACATTTTTGAAATCCCAGAATATATTATTTTTAATGTATATTTGTATTTATATAGTTATATATAATAATTATATATTTAGCAATAAACAGAATAACCAAAAAGGCACCGAAAAGAGAAATATAGGGACTGGATAAAGAAATATGGCGTCCAGTAGAACCTCTAAGGTGAACTCTTATGAGAGCAGCCACAGGCTAGCTGGGATTCCATCCATGATATCGAAGGGATTGCACAGGTTAGAACGGAGTGGAGCTATACACTGCTAGCTCTTTGTGCCATAATGGCACACCAGGGCAAGGAGTCAATGAATAATAATAGTTATTATTATATGATTGCGCACTTAAACAAGGTCTAAGCCCATTTAGCAACACTCCCTACACAATTATAAAGCGTCTCCTTGGTGACGGCGCGCACGATTGTCCCAGCATGGCAGTCAGAGGAGAGTAAGCCTCTCTGTGGGGGTTCAAATCCAAAAATGTTTTATCGTCCTGAGCGACTAGTGTTGTGGCTGATCACTCGCGACTACCGGCAGGTCAATGATTCCAATCCGTAGTCAGGTGGACTGTTTTTCTTCAAAAATGTGTCTTGGCTCACACGTCGACCTGGTCTAAACAGGGTACAAGGTAAAGATCAGAGAAGTAAAGGCGACCGTCGTGATGTTGACCCAAATACCTATTAGCGCTGATTGGTCCACCATAGTATGAGTCTAGGACCATACGCACGATGCTCCACTGGTGTCCGAAGGGTCGATTTTGGTAGAGAAGAGAACAAATGCCTGTGCGCGCGCTCTGTGTGTGTGTGTTAGTGTGTGTGTGAGTGATATGAAGGATAGGGAAGAGAAGAGAGAGAGAGAGAGAGAGAGAGAGAGAGAGGGTAGCGAAGGGAAGGGCAGGAGAGACAGTGAATGAATGAATGATGAATGACAACAACAACAACAACAACAAGAAATAATGGCTTCCAATTAACCCAGCAAAAACCACATGAAATCTAATGGTGAGTATTGTGGTAAAAACGAAATATGTAAAGTACACACACACAAAAATCGACCTGATTGACTCTTTGCCAGGTGGCAACGATTCAAAAACGCGTGTATGTATTCTTTCAGTCCTGGTTCATCAGCAGTCCCTGTATGGGTTTCGTGCTCGTTTGGGGGGAAACCAGAATGGGGCCACCGCCAGCAAACATGAGATAAACGCTGAAATCAGATGCTTCGAGCCAATAGGCGCCGATACCTTTGTCTAGCTGTAAACCACAACACAACGTCCCAACCACCCTTACAGGGATGAACGTAGAAGTAGTTATTATACAGTGTTGTGAAGAAGAAGAGGAAGAGGATTGTTAGGATGCAGTAAGTCTTTCTCTCTCTCTCTCTCTCTCTCTCTCTCTCTCTCTCTCTCTCTCTCTCTCTCTCTCTGTATGTGTGTGTGTGTATGTGTGTGTGTGTGTGAATGAAATGTGTAAACAAATACTTGAAGCGAGAACGTCAATAAATGGTAATGTGAAATCCTTTGGCCTACCTGAACATTTGCTGGGGGGGGGGGGGAGGGGTAGGCCCAGCATGTGACCAAATTATTAGACGCGACCTTTATCCTCCCCCACCCCCATGGAGTGGGAGGGAGTGCAGGGCCGTAAGGTGTCTGAGCTCCCCCCCCCCTCCCTCTTCCAGAATACGGCGCCTATGGTTGCTGCGTCATCGGTAACCCTAGACGTGTTTGCACGGCACGGCATTGCTTCTAGCTAAAACACTCAGTATGTTGTGGACCTCTATCTGATAGAGATATGCCCCAGCCAGGGTCTCCCAGCATCCACTGAACACAAGCCCGGCATTGATTCTCCCCGGGTTCACATCCATACACTCCTGGTATTGTAAAACAAGCTCTCAATTCCTATCCAGTGTGTATCGTAACAAAGATAGGCTGTTGCTCAACTGAATATGAAGCTGTGTTAACAATAATGGAGTAGGACTGAAAGAGCGGACCTGTTGATTCTTATGTCGAAATTACAATCGTATTCCCTACAAAATATGACCTAATCAGAAAGAACTCCTATCATGATTTCTCAAAATGATTGTAATATAAGCCCTACACTAGACTGGCTGATTGCGTTAAGAAACACACACACACACACACACACACACACACACACACATTCACACACATACACACGCACATCTACACGCATAAAGGCAAACACAGACACACACAGACACACACACACACACACACACACACAGGCGTACTGAATTTTAAAGTAATAAATGAATAAATACTTGAGTAAATTTGCATTTCTCTTCAATAAATATAGAGTATTTATACATGAAAAACTAAGGCACCCTCTTATGTGTCCTTTGGAACAAAAGTTAATATAAGACAGGACTTATTTTTTGGTGAAACGCGGTAATTCAAAACAAACTATGACCATCGTTGGTAAAGATTCTCACCGTATTGCAGACAGGCAATGCCATAACTGCTCAGTTTCTGTGACAGTGGAAGCCACGTAAAAAATCCTTCACTATCCTTTTTGAAAAAGTAGTGTAAAACATATCAGTCCCAGCAACATACTAAATCTCGCCCG